TCTGCTGGGACCAGTTTTGGTCCTTCTCATTTTCTATAGCAACCATTTGCCCAAGACAGGTGAGCTCTGTGTTCTGTTTGCTTTTCTGCTGGAGGAGCATTAAACCTACAGCTCTGTTCTGTGGAAACTGCCCAACAGTGTAGGCTGCCCTTTGCTGCCATGGAGAACTGGAATACTGGCACACTCCAAGCCAGCCACCTACCCCCAGGGCCAGTGCAGAGCAGCTCCCAGTCCATTAGGAAAAGGGGGAAGGAGGAACTTTTAATAGCTGGGATGCACAACTGAGAGACGAAACAGCATGTGGGTTCACAACACAGGAACTGACCATGTGTTGATGGTTGGGGTTTCTTTTTGGGGGGGTTGGTTGGTTGGTTTGGGATTTTTTTGGTGTGGTTTGTCGTTGTTGTGTTTTGTAGGGGTTTTGTTTGTGTTTTGGGGTTTTGTTGTTATTTTTGTTGTTGTGCTAAGCTGTGGAAATTGAAGTGCTCACAACCTACATTTTTCAGGTAGGCCAAAAAAATCTTTGGTTCCAGCCCTGAGTAGTCCTATGCCTGTTGTATCAGGAGTCCCACGAAGCTGTTCCTGGCTTTGATCCATGCAAAATCCCAGTAGCAGCTGTGCCTCTAACCCTGTACCTCAGAGTTGAAGCGGGGGATAAAGGACACGTAGATCTGTGCTTGAGGAGATGCAGAGCTGGGTTTGGCTTTTCCAGCCTTCCAGGACAGTGCCCAACCATCAGCTTGACAAAGCTTTTTAAGGCAGAGGCCATCATCAGCTCTCACTTCAAGGCTGTTGATTCCAAAGGTGTAGTGACTGCACAGGTTAAAGCGCAGGGCAGGGCATTCTCCTTAGAAACGAAGGCTTAGTTAATTCAATATTTAAGTGATTTATTTACCATCTAAGTGGAGACTAAAGTCCCAGCACGTGTCCACTGTGTTGGGTCCTTTAAAAATTAATTGATTATGAGATTGTTTTCATACAGCACAATTTCACCCAGTTCGGTTTCAAGAGCCCCACGCAGACGGGACACACCAATCTCAAGGCTGCCTGACAGGCTTCATGGGTGGTGTAGGATGAGACAGGACAGCCAAAAGGAAATCCCTTTGCAAACTCCCTATGACGGGTCCCTGGACCACACACGGCAATTTTTCCATATTTATTTGTTTATTTGTGTCAGTTCTGACATACTTTAGGAAATGGGAAAAAGGAGAAAAGGTTTCTTCCAGGATCAGGTCTGTGGATAAGGCCCCTGCCTCACTCTGTAGGTCTGCTGGCTGGAGCCTCGTGTGCAGTGTAGGTGGCTCCTCTGTGTGGGGGTGGACGATGGAACACGCACTTACCATCTATGCAACTCTGTCTGCTAGATGTAATGAACACCAGCACCTCCCCTTGACTCGGGATCACTCAAAATTAGGCTTTAACTTTAAACTGCAATGTGATCCTCCATGCAGCTACTGAACAGTAAAGAAATAATCAAAGAAATGCATTATTTAAAGTGTCATCACACTCCAAAATGTGTAAGGCCAAGTTTTATTTCTAAAAGTCCGGGAATAGTATCCTGTTTCTGTGTCTAATGGAAAGAACATCGGGCTTGAGGCTTAAGACTTTTAGTCCAGCAGTATTCTCTGCCTGTAAAGCACAGCTGGGTAGCAGACCCAGACCTTAATTTGCTTCTGTGTTTTCCCTGAAATAATTTCTAAAGTCTTTTGATGTTGCTGTTCACTACAATTCTGGTGACTTTTTCTTTGATGTTCAGCTCTGTACAGAGGCAGAAACAAGTATTTCCAGTAAAGTATCGACAGTGCACAGCCTGGACACAGAACACTCCAGGCTGTAAAGCCAAGTTCTAGTTTCCAGGCCACCTCCTTTTCAACAAACCAGCCCTTGCTAATTGCAGTTGTAACTGGAACTTTGTGAGGGAATACAAGAGTGTGATGTCCAGGAGCAGACTGGTGTATGTCTTTTAAAGTGTATGGTGTACGCTTTAAAAGAATGCAAATGTTGCTTCATGATTCAAACAAAAAACCCCCTCACTGGATAAATTTCAGCTGCCATGATCCTAGAGCTGGCAAGTTAATGGAGCCATTCACACTGTGTGAGTAAGGATTTATCTATGCAATTCCCCTAAATGTTAATGGGAGTTGTGTGCTGAATCTCAGCCTTGCCATGCTGAAACCTACCCCTAACTCTCCAAGGAGAAGGGTGCTAATTGGATTGCTGAGTTTAAATCCTTCAGCTAGTCAGTCTATGGAAAGGATTTAGCACTGGCTCTGAAAGGCTTTACATAGCTTTGCAGTGCAGTGCAGGGGAAGATTCTTCCCCCCACCCTCTTCTTTCTTTCTTGTGATTAATTGTGAGGCTTGAGGTGACAGGAGACATAATGAAATTCATAAATGCCAAAGGCCATCCCTAGTCACATTCCTGGCTGTTGGTTTAAGTTAGAAACTGACAGAAGTGTGAACAAATCAAGGTTGTTCTGCTAGCCTTTCAGTTATGGGGAAGAAAAAGTAACTGACAATGAGAAACCACTGGAGGTGGTTTAATGGGTATAAATTTTCAAGAACGAGTGATATTTTACACTGATTCAGATTTCTGGATACATAAATGACTTACAAACAGAATTCCCTGCCCATGGCAGGGGGTGTGGACTAGATGATATCTGAAGGTCCCTTCCAACCCCAACCCTTCTGTGATCCTGTGCTCTACATTGTGCCCCCATGTCAGTCTGAGGGATTCCAGTCCTTTTCATAAAAGAAGATATTGGCACAAGTTATTTCAGCAACCTGCCAAAGAAAAGCTGTTTTAAAGCCTGTAGCAGAACTCAAAGTGACTTGTTCTGTGTCTTTATTTGTGACTGGCCTTGCTATGCATGTTATAGATTTAAAAAATCCATTCTCCCTCTGGAAAACTAAACTTGCAGCTTGAACAAGCAGCATAAGAATTAACCCAGGACTCTCACTTCAGCCTGGAAATATATTCTATTACTTCTCCACATCCAGGTTTGAATTACAGTGTAAAGAATTGCTTCACATTGCTTGTTTTCTTAGTCCCTGACAGTGCAGAACATGTCACGTCTGAGTATATATTGACCAGACACTGATGCGGTGATCTTTTGAGCCAGCTGCCAGTAGTCTCTCCCTGGGGTTTTTGTGGTTGGAGAAGGACACACAATGCACCGTTGCTGTGTGATAGTCCAGCACCGCCAAGGGCTTCATTTTTTTCCAGCCAAAGACCCTGATGCGATGATCCCACCCTGCTGTTGCTACAATCTTCTTGTCTGGACGGATGGTGATATCAGATATGCCAGCGTTGACAAGGTTGTGTGTTTTGTAAACCTGTGTGAGAAAGTCAGAGGTGAGCTCTAATTGTTTAAAACAGAAGAAAAAGGAACCTGTGGGGATTTCAGAAGGTAGAGTGGCCAGCAATATCCACTGCTATCACACAGGCAGCAAGGAGCTTTTCACCACATGGCAGATGAACAATTATAGACAGAGATGGAAAAGATCTTAATTTGATCCTATCTATTACCAGCACCATTCTCGAACAATAATAGCATCCTGTGTATGTACTTCTTTAGTTTATACTGCATTTAAAGGTATTTATATTCTGTCACAAGTGAAGCTCAGAGACAAGGTCTGAAAACCAGACTACACAGTTTTGCTTTTCCAGCTATTCTTGCGTGAGCTGCAACATTCAGTGCTATGGCCAGATATTTTCTCTGCCTTTGCAGTATTCCCATGCTGAGCTGATATTAAACTACCTGCTACTTATTTCTACTACTGTGGCCCCTCACAAAAACACCAATAAGCTGTGGTAGCGTTTACCACAGTCTTGAGAAAGGAATGCTTCCAGGAATTAGGTTACAGTGTCAGGAAATCTGTATTTCTAGTACTCCATCCCGAGAGACTTCTATTTACACCAAATTCCAAGAAGGGGATTATGACCAAGTTATTGATTTCAATCTTGGAAGCCTTTTGTTACTGTTTGGGGACTACCGGGGCACAAGTTTCTGAGGGGCACAATTAAACTGGGAGGCATTTAGCTCCCTTCAGGACGCACTGGGGCTGCACAGGACTTAGCCCTTGGAAAGAAAAGTTTTCACTTCGCTGATGTTTCTCCTGAAGCTCAATGTAATTAATACACTTCTGCTGCGCTCACCTCACATAACTTGTATTAGTCAGCAGTCTGCTGCTGAAGCACAGGCGGTGTAGGCAACCTTGTGTGTGTGCACCCATGTGTGCATCTGTGTTGAAACAGCCCAGCTTTTCTCCCAGTGTGGAAAACACCTTTGGAGCATATGGATCTTGAAGTGCTGTTGTTAATTACAATTGCAAATGACACGTTAATGCCACCACCTATTTAAGACTGAATTTGTAGCTATCTTGTACCAAAGCCTAATAGAATTCAGTGCATGTTCTAATAAGCTGTGTGGTGTTTGCTGTTTTTCTGAGGCAGGAAGGAACTGACAAGCATGTTTTACAGCTAAGTAGCTTTCTTCCTCAAAGGACATTCCATGATGCATAGTTGGTACAGGATTAAAAAGGATATATTAATTGCAGATCATTTTAACTATAATGCTGATGAGCAATAGGAGGCTGCATTTGGGCTTTTTTGTGGGGCTGCTACTGCAAAACCTGTACTTTTTGCTGGTACGTAAGTTCCCCAGTTAGGCTACTGCAGTGTGGCTTCAGCAGGATTGTTGCTGGCATATGCATGCTGGCAAGGGATGGATTTCTTACTTACATCACCAGCCTGGCACATGTAAACTGGGCCTTACTGTGTAACTGAGATTATTAGCTAATGGCTATAACCAATCCTGGGTGTGGTGCTTCCCATCATTACTGTCATTATGTGGGCAAAAGCCATACAGCAAAATCAGGGCGACTGGGAGAAATTGCATGTCATCAGCAAGCTACAGCTTGAAAGTGAAGCCTATAATGGTGATGCCTTTTGGCTATGGAACATGAGGGAACAGTGGGCATTTGTGCATGATCTGCAAATACAAGAGATGAGAGAGAAAAACAAAACAAGGTAGAACAACTTGCTCAAGGTACATGCAGCCAGGTGAAATCCAAGTGCCAGGACTTGTGCCATCCAGTCACTTACAGGCAACTACTGTAGTCAAATGCAAACCAACACAATTTCCTAACCAGAAAACCAGCTTGTAATTAAGAAAACAAAGAGGTAAAAACAGGTGAGCTACTTTCAGCCAGTCATGACAAAGGACACTTCCATCTGCTAGCAGATGTGTTAAGGTATTTTGACATGCTGAGGCCAACAGATACCCACCTCCTGTCCCCTCCTTAACACAGGCTAGCCAGGATTTTTCTTTTCTTCTTTTTTTCCTTTTCTTCTTTTTCCTCCTAAATCTCCCTCTCCTACACCCAAATTCTTACTAGGAAAAATAGCCAAGATAGCAGTGGCTTCAGCATTTGAGGGAAAAGCCTCAGCAACCCAACCACCAAAACGTGTGCACTTACATTGCAGCTTATAGAATTCTTTTTCTTGTCATGTACAAAGGAGCTCCTGTGATTATCAGGTTTCTCAGTTCTGCTTTGTTTATTCACCTGCAGAAGCTGTTTACCTTCTACATTCTACCGCAAACATCACATAATTACACTATCTTGTCCAAATTAGAAGGCTCATAACCAATCCAGTCATTTGCTGACAGCGATGATTTCAGCAACTTTCTTATAGAAGACAATACACCAAACTTTCCCCATAGCAATAAACTATGAAGTTACCTTCATCATCTATTCATTGACAAACTGGAACATTGCCACTTAAAACAGAGCTGAAGTAGCATCATTGCGTCATTATTTCTCCACTGGCAGATAGCTCCGCACCACGGTTACTTATTAAAACCTTTAGAATAAAAATAATGTGCCAGTGAGTGGCTTTCCAACATCTACCATTACCTCAAGTACCTGGAATGTCAGGGAAAAAAAATCCCCATCTGGTTTATATTATTAATGCAATAGTGGAAAAAAACCTTAATCTATGTCCTTGACAATCTCTACTGCTCATATGAAAGATGCATTTTATTAGGGCATTCATATTCCGTGTGAAGCACAGAAACATTACTTACAGTTTGTAATATTTGGCATTTAAATTTCTTCTGAGAAAAGCTACTATCTCAGAGTGTGATGTGCTGAAGATCTAACTAATCCAACATCTCCTGGGAACTTGAATACCCTGTGGAAAACAATACCTGGAATATTTCAGGTGAAAACCTGTTTATTTTCCCCTTAAGCCACACCTGTAGCCCTGCATTACGGGTAACTCATAACTGAAACATGCTGTGGAGAACAATATTTTCTTTGAATTTAGGGAGAAGCTGTGCTATAATTAATACGAAGGAACATATTACACCAGAGTATGTGAAGCTTTAAGAAGCCTGTCATCATGTCAGATTTCCAACACCTTGGCCTTAGAAGACCAGTCTCAATACCAAGTTTCTTACTGGGACTTATCTCCTCATCTTCCTTCTGCTTCCTTGAGCTAAGGACACCAGGTGCAGATGTGTGGCAATAGTGATAGAAAGGCTGGGGCAGGGGGAGGGAAAACATGACAAAATCCAACCCCAAAACCATGACAATCGTGCATCAGACTTGTTAAAACTCTTTATCACATTGGCTTAGAATACCTTTGCTACTTATTTAGCATCTAATGTGCATCTTTTACTGCAGGTTGTATTGCTGATTAAAATTCAGACGTTCTCCTCAGTGAGTGCTGTCCCCTCCAAACTTCATTTCAGTTGGATGCATTTACACTACATATACTGGGATTTTAATGCCCTTCTACTCCATATATGCTTGTTCAGGCTGTGGTGAAGCCCAACGGATTATACACCTTCACCGTGGCCCCCAGGTGACGAGTCACCATTGGCTGCCCAAGCAACTTGTGTTTCTTTCCGTAGCACCTTTTGGAAACAGCATCAACTAGTCACACCACCTAAATAATCCCCCAAAAAAGCTGCAAGAGCAATCACTGTTCTTTCATGGATTGGTGTATCCAGCAGCTGTCTTCCCAAGGATGGTATGGGGCATACAGGGCACTCTTCATTGGGTGTTCAGGGGACAACTGCCACTTAAAAAAGGGTAAAGCACGCAGCAGTGGAGAGGCTATGCATGGCTCATTTTAATTTTCATGAGCCTTTATTTATGCACTTCATTTCTGCCCCTAGTTAAAACCTATTTAACCCCTTGGCACTGTTGGAACACTTGCTAACATTGTCTAGATTAAGCAGTATTTATTGCCATTCACTGGCATAGCCTGAACTGGTGATTGTGAGACCTCTAAACCAGCCATTCCAGGTATGCAGAGCTCAAACACACACCAATATATCCAATGAACTGATTTTCTCTGTCTCCAGCTGAGGCTCTGAAGGTGCCAAAGGATGCTGGCTGTCCAAACCTCCCATCCTCTTGGTGCTAGCTGGGCTATTGTACTCTTTTTGTTTGTGAAATATGTCATGGAATATTTCTGTCTTTCCCACACTGGAAATAAAGCTCTATCCATTCAAGCAGAACCTTTGGAAAATCAATCCTTTGTTTCTCATTTTTGTAACTCATTTATAATGTTTAGGACATTCTGAGAGCTGAATACTACTAACGTGATAAATGAAGATACAGAGGCAATGGCTTGAGTAATGCTGGGCTTGTGTGCCTGTTGCAACTTTGGTAAAACCAGAAACATGTGAGAGAGGGGTTTTTTTCCCTTTTTTTTTTTTAAATCCTCACCACCTTGTGCTAAGTCCAGTCACACAGCACAGACATTCTAACCAGTCTGTGATTAATTAGCTAGAGATCTGCAACAACTCCTCTTCATGACTAAATATTTTTTTAGTCTATCAAACTGTTAGTGCAAAGTGGGATAAATGACACTAGAGGGCCAATGATCCTGACCTGGAGGTTCTGTTGCTCATTGAGGCTCCAGATGCTAAGCACCTTTTCAGATGAGCCCGAGATCCCCTTGGCCTTCTCCGCGTCAAAGTCAAGGCTCATCACTGGCTCCTGGTGGCAAGCAAGTTGGCTCAATGCTTTTCCCATTGACAAATTCCAAAGGACCACTGATCCATCTTCATAGCCAGCCAGAAGCAAAGGTTGTGAACCACCGCTGAGCTGATCAAGGGAAAAGTAAAATTGTTTGAAAAGTAAATAGTCTGTTAGGAAAATGACCATCCCCAGGTAGGTTTCAGTCCAAGCACCAAGAAAATAAAGAAAATGCTGACTGGTGAACAAGTGAAAGGTTTACAAGTCTGAATGTCACAGCCTGATAGTCCATCCATTTACAGAAAGTCTTACTCGGTAACTGCTGACATTGTATCTACACATCAAGTCTATGCTATATATATATGTATAAAACATGCATGTAATGTGTATGTATATACACACATAGAAAACTTCTCTCTGAAAATCTGAACTGTTGACATCTACAACACCTGCAGAAAGGCTGCCTGAAGTTTCCAGAAGCTTTACTTCATGGCCTGAACTTTGTGCTCCTTAGAAAAAATTCCTAGAGCAACCGAGTTACTATCAAGATACACAAACCTGCACAGACACCGAAGGAAGTGCCATGCCTGAAGATTCCAGTTTCACACTGCCAAGTGTAGGGTTACACATAGGGATCAATTACCCAAGTGCACCACAGTGCTTCAAGGTAAACACTGAGCCTCCCATCAGGAATCTCAGTGAGTCACCAAGGGGTTAACAGGCGCCTGAGTCCCACTGTAACCAATTGAGAGCTATTTTGATTAATGATGTCACAGGCCAAAGGCCACGGCACCCTGGGCAGACACCTAATTTATTTAAGCCTCTGAAATAACTCAAAGAAGGGAACATTACTGGATTACATGTCACACTTAAGGAAAATATTCATCATTACTCCAGCCAAAAGACTAATGACCCCGTAAGCAGTAACTGGGTATGTGAGTGAAGATGCAAATCCCTAACCCAAAGCAACTACAAAACAGGCATCTGCTATTTCTTTGGTACCAGATGAAACACCAAAACAAACATTGGGATTACAACCACCCCATGCAAGCACATCTAAGAAATGTATCCAGGTTAGTCATCTCTTTCCAAACACTCTCAGATCCTTCAGGATATGTTTACTTGGTATTCAATTCAAAATTAAGTGTAAGGACATTTATAAAGACTTGCCTTTTACTGGTATTGCATTATTGAATGAAGTTCTCCAAACCTGCTGGCTGTCAATGGCAGGATACAAGCCTGCAGTGGCCAAAGGCTCAATGCCTCTATTAATGGTCCAGACTATTCTTCCACTGGTTACTATTTGTTCTAGGGGGAGTTAAACTAACAAGAGATGGGTGGTCTGGGTAACAGGACTGCTGAGTGTGTTCTTTACCCAGATTTATTCAGCCTAAAGAAGCGTTTAAATGAGGAATGGATCTCATTGGGTGGAGAAGAAAAGTGCCTCTTAGAAGAAGGAAAGCAAAGGGAAATCCCCTACATCACCTTTCTGAACAGGTCTGCTCACAACTGGTATCCTGCAGGAGCCTCATTCTTTGCTTTAAGATCCCTTTTCTTTTGAGAAGGCCAGGAGCATGCTCTGGCTGGAAAGGCCCACAGAAAAGGTCTCCTGTAGAGCCCAGAACTGTGCACAGTTTCTCTGTCAAATTTTTGATTTGCTAAAATAATAAAACATGAGAGCAATGACTGTATGTCAATACATATGAATCGATGTTAAACCATCAGGTATTTTGGATGAAGAGTAGCTGGGTTTTAAAAGTAAAAAAAAAAATTAATCTGAATGATACAAACATTCCAGGTTTAATTTATATTCAGTAAAGGGTAAAACCTTCAAAGCAAAACAAAGTCATACCCCATCCATCCCCCCTTATTTGTACTGCTCTTCTATGAGCAGAGGACTCCAGAGCCCTGGGGCTCTACAGCAGGTAGAGCTTCCATTAGCCAACACCACAAGATACGGGGTGGCAGGGTCAGCTCCTCTGCCTTACTCAGCACCAGACGGCAGATTTTCATAGCTGCTCATACCCCTCATTAAGACAAGAGCAAGTGCTCAGCATTATGGGAAAAGCCAAGCAAAACCTTTTGTTGTTGTTGGGCTTTTTGGTGCTGTGGGTATCTTAGATTTGAAACCCAGTAATTTGCAAGTGAGATCTAAGATTGGCCTATTTTGAAAGCAAAGTATTATTTTCTATGAACTGAAGGTCTCCACACTACTTCTTTCCAACTTTTCCTAACTGTATGAAGTGTAATATTTTGATGAGTACATGTACTTGAACAATAAAAGCCATTGAGAGAGCAGGGGAGCTCTCAAGCTGATGCCTGGATTCACCAAGCAGTGGTTTCACAACAGCCTGTTTATTTCAGTTCCTAATAACGGACACTTCTGGTGAAAAGTCTTCTCATTCATCTTCTGTTTCAGTGGAAAAATTAAAATATAAATCATTGTTCTTCCTAAGCAGAACACTTTGTTGTTGCATTTGGATAACTGTCAAGGAAGGAAGAAGAGGTGATCCGCTGTCAGCTCAACAGGAATAATTGCTGTAGTTTATATAAAGTAATAACTCTGCATTTCCAGTTTCTACATGTATTATTCCTGTTGAATTATTTTGCTTGCACTGTTACGCAACATGATGCCTTCCCCAAGGAGTGCAAAAAATGTAATGGAAGCCTATTCTTACTCCTGCAAATCCTGCTCCACCCAGTTAGTAATAGCAGGAAGGTGTGAAGCTGAAGGGACAACATATTTAGGAATATGAACATTCACAAGGCAAAAACCCGTTGTACAAACTGATACATTTAGGGACAATTCTAGTAAAATGAAGGGGAAAAGCTTCAAAACAATGAAATAAACAGCCACAAGTTTTAAGTGCTTAGGAGAAGCTGGTGAGGCTTAATCTACAAGCCTAACCTAAGCCTCAATTTCCTTCTGCTCTATAGTAACGTTTCTAATTCATCGTGCTGCTGGTAAGGTGCAGTTTCCCTGGAACATGGATCTTTGTTTATTGTCATGCAGAACAATATGATACATGGCTGCAGCCCCCCGACTGCTGGACAACAACCACAAGCATACTTCTTTCAGACCATTATGTGGCTCTCTCCATGTCAGCTTCTGTTTCAACTTGTTAATTTACTGTGCCATAAGCAACGTCAAATAATCTCTTAGGCAACACGCTGCCCATAGGCAATGGGTTGGGGAGTGCTCACGTCCCGGGTATGTCTATATTGCCCAATATAGTAATGCACAAAAGGAATCCTGGATGGCCTCTATTCGGGAAGGGCTTCAGCTGGGTTAGCTCATGTTCCTCTGCTTCTATGGTTACAGGGTTACTCAGCGTGCCACTTCCAGTGAAACCACAGAACAGAATGCAGAGCATCACTCTGGCACACCACAAACAATTACTTGCCCTTAAGAGCATTCTCCTCCCCAACACTTTTAAACCGAATTGCACACATTTGTAAAAGAGCATGCCCAGCTGTGAGGCATTATCTACCCTGGCCTGATGCAGTCTAGGAAGTTGTGGTGACTTCCTCAAGCCAGAATTTGCATGGAATAATTTACCTCTTCCCAGTCCTCTGCTTTATCCCCACTGCCAACAAAATTAGAACCTACATAAAATTAAGACTCTGCACCTGCTGCTCTGCTTCCTAGAGGAATAGCAGTATTAGTGCATGTAGAAAACATGGCAAGACAGAGGACTTTTTATACAGGCAACAAAATTTTCAACACTGATCATTTCCTCAGTTATCTTCATCTTATTAAAAAATGTCCAGGAGACAGAAAGCCCCATTCATTTCATTGAGCACTGAACACTGATTGCATTTTTAGGAGAAACTTTCTGTTTAATAAAAGCCTAATCAGGCCATTTAATTTTCTTTTTTTTTTTCTTTTCCTAGTTATTAATTACACTGTGGCCTCTCCTCGTCTTGTCTGAATTCCTCTAGACTTCAGTCACTCCAGGGCCTTGTGTGAAGACACTGAGGCCTCAAATTCACAACTGATTGATAACTTTTTCAACTGAAACCAATACAAACGTTCAGATGAACCTGCAGGAATAACATACCTGACATAGGCTCGGATGGCACTGCAGACCTGTAACAGTACGTGGTTGGGAATCAGCCACCTGATTAAACTGGGAATCAGCTTTGCCACTAATGCCCTCGAGATTTAGAGCCAATCACCTAAGCTCCTTCCTCCCTCTACTGCCACCTTTTTGTATTACGTGGCGTTCATTGTGGGCACCCCATAAACATGATGGGCTGATTCTCTGCAAACATGTTTAGGGCTTTATTTCTTTTCACTAACTGCTTTTATTTACCTTCTTGTCCAAAGTCAAACCCACCATAAATATTTTGTTCCTATTGTATGTCTGAAATAGAAATGTTCATAGAGTGCTTCCTTGTCCTGAGGGCACTGAAGTGAATTTAACCTGCCATTAAAATTGCTGGTTTTAAGTAACCCAATCATTTCTCATCATTCTTAATGCAGTGAGAAACCATATCAAACAACTGGCTTTGGTAAGTCACTCATTTTCCTCTTGATTGATGCAAAAACCGTATCTATCCTAAGGATACAAAGCTTTTCCTGAGCATTTGCAAATCTTCCATTAAAGCTTGGAAAGCTCTGAAAGTTACATTAAGGATGTTCACAAATCTTTCCCCCCTTTAATAGTATAATTACTTGATTGGTTTGATAATAAATCAAAATCCAAGTGAGGAAAGATTCATGTGCTTCATATAAAATGAATCACAGGGAAAACATTTCACAATTAGCAGGCACTCTTGCCTTACCTGCCATAACTTCAGACACATGGGCATGCCCAGCTTGGCACCCGCCTCTGGCTTCAAGGTACAGACTGACGTCTTGGATGGCAGCTCCAAAACCTGAACCTGACATCAGGAAAACAAGAGTATTTGGTCCAGCTCCAGGTCAAAATTCTGCTGTTAAAAACACAAGTCTTTTAAGGTGATTAAGGTTAGTATAAGCTCTTCCAGTAAAAACTGTCTGGAGGAAACAGGAATGCATGTTAAGTTGGAGCTGTAGGGGAACCTACAGCTATCTAAATACATGCATTGTTTTAGGAAAGACCAGACAAAACTGCTGGAATGTGAACACATCCTCTTCTTCCCCTCTCCTAGTTAGTCTGTGTTAGTGCTCTTTCTGTACAGCAGATGATACTGTGTGTATAGTAGATGATCCTGCAGACTGCTTCATCTGAAAACACCTCCCCGATTCCTCTCCCTTGCCCCTTTTTCCATCTCTGTGGCTAATTTTTTGTTACATTTGCTTGTGGACACTTACATTGTCTCCTCTGGTCTGTCATGGTAACACAGAGCTTGTATGGAAATACGGGCAGAGGTGGATTTTCTATTTACTGGCTGACTGCACTAACAAACGTAAACCAGAATTACCTGCTAATGCAGGCTGGAGCGGGGATGGCACATACGTATCTGTCTGACCCTGCTTTGAATAGGGTCAGACAATGTTGTGTTAAGCACCTGCTCTCTGTCTACGCAGCAGCTTCCACTGTTACTTGCACTGATGATAATGAATTATGGATCATCTCTTTTCTTTTTTTAGCATTGGGCAAGTCTTTCCTCTGCCAAGGAAGTAGCTCATTTCCACCCCAGGATGATGGCAGGCAAGATCAGGGGAGTCTGCCTTTGCAATTTGGCACGGGAAGGTTTTGCGTCTCTTGATTGACATGGCAGTGTCTCACTCTGGGCTGATTATCCAGCCTGGAATTATGGAGAAATAGAAGTTCTTAGGTATCAAAAGCTTGCTGCCAGGAGCACTGCATTTCTCACACGCATACTTAATCACTAAGATGATCTTTTATTTTAGTTAGATAAACAATGGTCTGCATTATCTCGTAAAATTAAAGGACTTAAAACATTTGATAAATCCAGCACCACCCGCCATCCTGGGCTATTTCAGAATGTGCAAAAGCCCAACAGTGCTCTTGGACAGCCCCAGTCACGCGAATTTCCTTAAGCATCTGAGATGAGGTATTAGACAAATATGGCTCCTCTGGGAGCCATCAGTCAGGACCATGGCAGCTGCGATGGCTTTCCAATCCCATACCTTTAGTTCAAAGCTTGCCAGAACATCTTCCTATTTCTAGGGGTTGTCAGCTAGCCTGCCAAAAGCCAGCTGCACTCTAGGAGTGCAAGTTGACAAACACAATATACATTTCCTAAAGCCACTTAGCAATGGAGCAGGAAACTGTCCTCCAGATTTGAGGAATGGAGGCTACAGCAAAGATGTAGACCAAACGTATGAACAGACCAAAGTTTAATCATCTGAGAATTCTGGTTCTTTGGAGCTACACTCTTAATAAAAGATGCTTTTCTCTTGGCAACTTTCTTGCTATCAACATAATGACCAAGTTAGCTATTGCAGGAAATGGGCTATAAATATGGTGACCTGCTCTCATCTTGCATCTTTCATCACTGGCTCTCCAGAGGGCATTGCCTCGAAGACAACTCTGAAACTGTAACTTTTACATACTAAGGAAGGATAAGTGTGCTGTGATAAAAACAGTTCTGTGGGTTAAAGGAAAAAAATCCCATATCCTTCACTTCACCTTGATTCAAAACGGACAAACTGGTACAAGGGCTTCAGCTGGGCTTGCAAAGGACAAAGAAAAGCACAGAGATGAGAAAAGCTTTCTGCAGAAGGCCAGCAGGCATGAGCTGCCTGTGTTAGATTGACAGATCCAGAGACTGCATTAGAGGCAACTGAGCCTTAGAAATAAATACTATTTCATATATTTTGACAACTGTAACCTAAAACTTGAAGTTCTGTGTTTATATTGGTTTTGCTTAATAGGAGAAAGATTTGCCTTTGCCTGAGGTTAATAGTGTTCCTGGGTGGCTAAAACTGGCCACAAGGAAACACACCCTTTTTCTTTTTCACATTAATAAAGCTTTTAACATGTTTCTGGCAAATTGGCAAGAAAAGTGCATGTAACTCATAATTGGTGATTTAAATGCAATCATGAACAAATAAATGCCTGTTCAGATCTCATTATTTATGGACTGAACCTGCTTTAAGACAAAATTACTCTTTTTTTGGGCACTAGCCAAGCATAAACACTTATTAAGTCTTAATTTTAATCATAAGCTGCAAATGTACTGTGTCTCACACAGTGCTGCCTATTTGGAAGCACTATATATTATAGAAGCTTATGTGAATTTATTGAAACCTGACACAGTTCTAATGTAAAGGTTCATACACAGAGTGGAACTCTTACCTCAGGAGACAGCAAATCATTATCAGTTTGCAGGGCCCAAGGACAGAAATGAAAATAAAACAGAGATGAGTTGTAAGAGACTTTGGGGTAAACGCCTTCTCTTTGGATCAGGTGGTTATTCAGTTGTTCACTACCAGAATGTGTGTGTGTGTTTGTACTCTTTGCCTTTCACAAAAACTCTTCTCTGGCTGACACAAGAACGCACTTGTCAGTTTTTTTTTAACTTAAGTATTACTGAGCACTGCTGTAAAATGGAGAGAGGCCTTTGTTTGATCAGAACAAGGTATGAGAATGGTTGTATTTACTGGTACAGTGGTTGTGTCTACAGGCTTACTCAGTTCTGTAAAAGGCTGAATATTCTGGCTGTTAACCAGCAAAGTACTTAAATATGTGCTTAACTTCTGAATAATAAAAGTTCACGTTTTCTTGCAATACAGGCACCATTCCCACTTATTACTTTGTCTATAAAATATGCAACTTTCAGTTTCAAGATACATATCCCATAGTCCAGAAAAGCATCTGACCTTGCAATTAGCAACAATATTTCTTTTCCTATTTATGCCACTTTTCTATTTTTTCATATTTTTGGTATTTTGATGTCAAGTATTTGAAATAATTAATTTTTGTGTGATGTCCTCAAATAGTCCTTCAAAGAAAACAAAAATACAATTTCTCCAAAGCAGAAGAGGAAATTGCCAACAAAGCTGTCAGTCAGTAATTCTGTGATAACGGGTATTAGATGTGGACTTACCCAGTAGGAACTGAAACGGACCCTACAATTATCTCACACTGAGCAAACCTCTGGCTGCTAACTATTCAACTATTTCCAGCCAAAGTACCAGTTAAAGAATTAGCCTGGGGTGAAAGACCATGTATTGCATTACAAATCACCTGCACCTCCCCTCCTCTCACCAAACATGACTTTCAGCTTCAGATGGAGGATGAGTACCTCCACCTGATGACAGACTCTCCGACCATTAGTTCCCCACAAGGACTCTTGTTCCCCTTCAACAGTACTGAGCAGCACCAGAAGAGTTTTAAAAACTCCTGCACGTGAAAGATCAGCAGCAGCTGCGAATACTTACATGTTAGGCAATCGTGGGGTGGTATCCTTGTATCAGAGCTTGAGTTACAGAATTCAGTCATCTCTCTGGCAGGTAAAATTAGTGATTAGGACCCGCAGAGGCTCCTTGCGCTGCCCTCTCTTGAGCAGCGAATTTGAGAGTAGTGATGTTTCCCCTTCTAAACTATCTCCTTTCAAAAACAAAAGGAATCTACCAAGCACCAGAAAAAAGACACTTCCTACCTCCTCCAGGGCTTTGGCTGCCATGGCCATTAGCCAGCGTCCCTGTGCCACTGTTAACAGCGAGCACCTGCAGAATCCCACATTCTCCGTAAAGACAGAATCCGTCACTTCAGTCCGTCCCTCTGTCAAATCCCACAAGCAGATCCTTTGGTCACGACCCTGACTGTTACAGTAAAACAAGTCATGCATGAACAGCAGGTCTGAGAAAGCCTGGCTCCTGCGGGTTAGTATCTCAATGTAGGGTCTTTAACACGCAGCGAAGGAGTGAGATTTGTACAGCTCCTGTGGGGTATTGATGGGGTCTTTCCTGAAACATGTGGGAACTGGGAATCACTGAGACAACCACCCTTCTGCTGACTGCACAACTGGCCAGTAGGTTCAAAACTTCCTGGGAGGAGGAAGGGCCTGAGGGGCAGTCAGGTACCCTGCAGTCACAGCTAGCCTTGTTTCCTTGTGAAGAGGGATCTGATCAAACACAGTTGTGCTATTTATACGTATATACGTATTTCTGAAGTCTCACGAATATTTGAGCATATTCATCATAAAAATACTTACATTTTACCATTTATTAGAGCTAATCTAAAAGGAAACAAAAGTATCCAGAGAGTAACACATTCAACACTTTCACCCTATCAATGAAGTAGAAATGTCAGGTATGTTGACAGCTGAAAGACAAATAGCAAGACAATAAAGACCGCATCAAAGATAAATAAAAAGCTACAGTTACACAATGGTCAACTTCCCACAGCCCCAGGGAGGGCACAGAACACTTACAACTCTGTGTGTGTGGAGACACAAAAGGAGAGGGACTGGTGGTGCAGCGCGTAGCAGGAATTAAACAATGAAGCACCGTGGTTAAAATATCCAAAACCAGAGAACCAGCATCTGCATCACTGACACACCACAGCAGTTCACAGGCTCCTCTGCACACCTCTCTGTCCCACTGAAAAGTCTGTGTGTTGCTCCCAGACAGTAAAACCAGACAAAGGGCACAGTGATAATTGCTACAGGTTTACATGATCCCACTGGCCCTGGAACAAAGCTTCCAAACCACAACCTACAGTAGCACAGGATACGTGTCCTTATGTTATCACCTGGGAGAAGGAGTCATGAAAAATCCCTTATCCATTTCTTGTTTTAATTAGCAGTATCACCTTGTGGAAGTATAAAACCAAAACAGAGGTAGATGCAAATCTACAGACTGTTGGGACTTCTTCAGCACCAATACAGGAAGTCCCACCTGCTGTTCAGCTGAGTGACAAACTGTCCAAATATTTATAGCACCGGGCATACAAACAATGGGGCACTGCAAAGAATTGTTATGATTTAGCTTTAGAACAGAAAAAGTACAGGTAACTGCTGTCCTAAAATTGCACTGCTATGTGAACTGTTATAAATATACAGCAAAAATAGAGGTATGGAAAAACTCTATAATTATACAAACAATGCTCATTCAGTATGATTTTATGGGGGAGAGTGTTGATAATTGTACTTAAGCAGATAACAAATATAAATGCTAATGAGTTCCACTGTATATTATAAGAGATGTCGTCTCCAGATAAACATGTCAGAACACCTCCTAGTCATACAGACACTTTGGCATCTACTCTAGATCACCTGTCTAATCCAAAGTACACAAATCTTCCCCTTCCCTTGCTAAATAAGAACAGAAGATATTTTGCAACAAAGCAAATGTGTACAGCTCAGCATTCTTGCTCATTTTCAGTCTTCCATTCTCCATCTCTGATTCTTCTCTTCCTTACCTTCTCTCCCCCTCCCCTCTATTTATAACCTCTGGATATAAATTTGATCTTCCCTGAGAACCAGTTGTGAAGCACCTGTCAACTTCAAATCCAATTGCATTTCCTTTACTCAGAGATCTCACCTGATCTAATAAAGCCACTACGGACCCCAATTGTCATGATGTCACCACATATACATCATAAGTAAATTCACTGTATGATTTCTTTCACTTTTTGTTCTACAGTTTTCTCTGTATTTTTGTACTTCTGTACATTTCCTTAAGCACTGGAGAGACTTTCACTGATTCCAGAAATGAAACTCCTTTTTCCCCCCTTTTTTTTCCCCTCTTCAATCACATACACCACAGAGACAAGAACAGTTTCACCAGGTTTTGCCTGCTTTGCTTTGCTAACCTGAGGAGCCTGGTTTTACCACCCATTGTCTCCACGCAGTAGACAGATTTTCTTCCATGGCCATCCAGTGCTGTGTCCACTCTGTGTGTTTTCAGGTTCCAGACATGGATAAACCCATTCTCAGACCTGGCAGTAAGAACAGACGCTTTCAGTGAGGCCACTGTCCGATAAGACAGTCTGATATTTGTTGGTATTTTTTTTCTGAAGCTGAAGCTATATGTACAAAGGTCACACTTCCCAGTCACAAACCTGGCATTTTGTTGTTTTCTCCAGATACAATGTATTATTTAGATAAATTGTGTTTTAAACAGAAATGTCCATTTGATGTTCAACTCGGCCAGAAATCCTGGTTTACTTACCCAGAGAAAAGAGTGGGGACATCGGGCTCCTGGCCTCCACAGGAGAAATGCAGAGTGTGGACTGCAGCACTGGTACCTCTGAGAACAAACTGGGGATCCGGAGGTGGCAGAGCCATCCGAGTGATGGGCTGGGGGAGGGAGAAGATGACACAGACGTCACAAGAGGGTAAGGCAGCCTAAAGTGAAATGACAACTTTAAATATATTCTTGCTTTTCCTAGTACTTTCTTCTCTCAGTTATCTAATGATGGATGTTACTTCTATTTGCCATGCAGTGCAGTGCAATAAAAAAGTATTTTCTCTGAAGATTGACTCATCAAGCAGCTGACAAATCTGCTTTTTGCTGCATTCCTTTTTAAGCAAGTTAAATGCTGAGCTGGCCATGTGCACACACCTCACACGCACTTGGAAATACTAAATTGTTCAGCTCTTCTCCCTGCCACAAAAAGGAAGAGCTGCAAAATGAAAGAAACTGGATACCCATAATTTCACTGGGCAAGCAATTTATCATTCCACTTAGCCCCTTGGCAAGTCTTTCCCCTTCCTTTCTATAAAAGTACTACTTCAGTGTTCTCCACTCACAGCCATTTACAGGGAAGCACTGCAGTGAACATATCAACTGAAAAGCATTCCATGTGAGATTAGTTATGATCATTTTTACACAAGAACCCATCACTTCCAAATGCTTGAATTTTTTGTTCCAAGCATGGTTACTTAAAAAAAAAAAAAACCCTCAGTAATTCACACTTAGTGACTACTGTGTTAAACATTTTATTCCAAGGGGTTTTTATTCCCCCAAGGATTAATAAAAAGAGATGGATGCTTTCAGCTTTATGTGATCAGTTTGGATGTGGTCTGAGTCAGCACAGAACAGGGCAAGTGCACAGGAAAGCATGCTGCCCTGTCTAAGATGGGAAACATGAAGGACAATTGATTATGAACTCACGGGGATAACTGCTGTGGTCCAGACTGGCACACTTTTACTGATCTAGCACCTTTGCTGAGTATTCCCACTCACATTAGCACTTCTGCAGGCACAGTTTGCAGGTGCACAAGCACCAAATGACAAGGATGACTTTTCTGTGTTCTGACCTGCTGCAAGTGCCCCTCCAGACCTGTGCTGGGACAAGGTAACCAGCAGCTTCTTTGACTGTAAGTACAATGTGCAATTCATTGCAAAATGCATTGTGACATGCATTACAGGAAATATTTTCACCATGAGAAGTTTTTACTGTTTTGTCTGTGACATTACTAGCCATGTCTGTACTTCTGCTTCTTCCTTGCTGACCTGACCTCATACAAAAAAGGACAGCTTTTACTATTACAGATGTCAACTCTCACCACTCAAAAAAATTACACTGGATTAAAGAAAAAGGTTTCTAAATTCAGTAAGGGAAGATCAGCAGATATTTCTCTGCCTGTTAGTTCACAGCAGAGGAACTGAAGAGGATTGCCGCAAAGCGCTTGAGCTACAAGTCAAATGGTAGGTTAAAACAGCTCAACTTTTGTCATCTCACCCAAGTATCAGCTTTTGAATTGTGTTTAATGGATGCACTTGCTATGGCATCTCATTTGCAGGCCTACCCTGAGTGTTTATAAATCAGTAATCACCACGGTATCTGTAAGTCCTAATTAAACACAATTATCTTTTAGGATGGGTGATGAAATGGGGTTCTTCAGCATAATGCACAGTTCTCCCTCAATAGCACTGTGTAATTAGGTATGAAAATAATGAGATCAGTGGATATCCTCCTTGTTTTAGTGCCCTGACTCATTTGGTTTATGATGTTGTCTGATGATCTAGACTCTTGACAGGCTGGAGTAAATTTTCAGATCATTACACGATGTACAGGTTCTCCCCTATGGTGAGATCCAGCTCCTGACTGCCCGTCTGTAACAAGCTTCACTTCTGCTGTAAACCTGTTAGACTAAGGATTTTGTCACCAAACACCACCTCTTTGGGACATTACAGCTGTATGCTATTGCCCTCAAAATGTCACTCTGTAGAGCCACGTAAACAGAACAGTAGTCAGGCTTGTCAGAGGAGTGGGGTCCCTCTTCACAGTGCAACAATCATGGGTTACTGCACTGAGCAAGGAAGACAAAATAGAACTGAGTCAAGCCAGAGGCTATCCGGGATTACAAGGCAGGTTTTTAATAGCGTTTTTCTAATTACTGACACAGAAGTTTTTGCTGACAGACAGCAAGTGTGTGCGTGGCTGTGGGAAGGGTTTTACCTGGCATGAAACAGACGCTACTAATGCATGTCTTTACAAGGACGATATTTCAGACAAATTCTCAGGCTGGATACAGGAACAAAACATGACTACTGACAACATACTTGCAAGCTGCAAGCACATGAAGGGACGTTTTGCTTCTTGGAGCCTGGTTCTTTGCTTGCTTTTTTGCTACTCAGATCCGTGAATCTGGAAATCAGGCTTAATATTGAACCTATGTCATTTTTTATTGGGGTTATGAGATGATTCCTTATTAAATTCCTATTGTGACTCAGGAGATGAATGGCAGTGTGACAGTATTAAGCATCTCATTTTCCTTCCAGCAAGTTCTGAACTATAAAACTGCATCTGTGCTATCTTCTTCATCCATGTGCATGGACAAATCACTTAAGACCAAGATTTAATTAAAAGTTCTTAGGTACCTAAATCAACAGGAAGTCCCATGAATCATAAACAGATGGAAATTTGGTGCACTGGTGCCTTAAAAACTCCAGGAAAGTATCCCCCTGTTCCTGCTG